CCTGCTCGTGTGGAGAATTTGCTTCAGTAGTAAAAAAGTCTTAAATCGGAAAACCGCTGGGTGTAACCTCGCAGCAGTGAGCTGTCAAAGGCTGGCCTTTGGGCACAGCGTTGTCAGCAGGGCCCCCGTGTCCCTGCTCTCCTTTCACCAGGCCCGCCTCCCTGGGACTTTGGGATTAGCGGCAGCTTGCCGGGTTAGCGCGTGTGACCCTCTGGGAGCTGAATGTGGGTCACAGCTGTGAGGAAGTCGGGTGTCACCACTCCCCACTAGAGCCGGGTCCTCTCCCCTTCCGCCCGCCTCCACCTGCTGCCCACAGAGCGTCTCCAGCCCAGCCCGCCCTCCCCGGGCCCCAGGCGTGAAGCGTGGTCGTTGTGTCTGCCCCACTCAGCACTCCTCCGTGAAAACCTTCCCGTCCCTCGAGCGCTTGTTTGTGGCCGCACTGGCATTGCCATTTACAGAGTTTACATCAGGGAAACAAGTTGTTTGTTCCCAGACACAGCGCCAGGACTTTGAACATCCCTATTTGAGCACTGAGCTTCTCTGCGGACCCAGTGTCTGGTGTCCATCCTTCTCCCGCTGCTCTGAGGACGCTGCCTGGGGAGGGAGGTCGAGCGTCTGAGGACGGAGCAGGTGGCGTTTGGGCTCCCTGTGGCGGCGTGTCCTGTGCACTGTAGGGTGTTGAGCAGCATCCCTGCCCTCACCCACTAGATGGCAGTAACACCTCCCCACCCCCAGCTGTGACAACAGAAACGCCCCTAGACACTGCCAAGCATCCCTGGGGGTCGGAATTGTCTTGGTTGGGAGCCGCTGGATAGGATACGTGAGGGGAGGGGTGTGGGACAAAGAGCTTGGTTGGGCCTTTGTCTCTGGTTTCTGGGAATAGCCCCCAGAATGCTCAGCAATCCCAGGTGTCTGTGTTTTTCTAAAAGGGCCAGTGAGGTGGGAGCCCGAGGACCACCTCTGGCGAGCTAACTTAGGGGAGGGGGCACGGTGGAGTCAGTCTCAGGAGGCCCCAGTAACCATGTAACGGACTCCGGACCTGGGAGCTTTTTTTGAGCTTCTGGATTTATGATGGACGTGACAGACCCTTCTAGACCTCATGTGGGTGGGCATCTCTTTCTGCATCTCCATTTGTGGTGTATTAAAAAGGGTATAGTGAGAATACCCCTTCCTGGGAGTTCTATGAATAATTCTAGTGAATTCTCGAACCCACCGGGGGTTGCCTGAGCCCTGGTGGCGCCAGCGGTGAAGAGCTATGCTAACCAAAAGGCCAGCAGTTCGAATCCACCAGTTGCTTCTTGGAAACCCTATGGGGCAGTTCTGCTGTGTCCTACAGGGTCACAATGAGTTGGAACTGACTCCGTAGCATTTTTTTTTTTTTTTTTTGGTTTGGGGGCCACCTGGCCTCTGCGTATTTGGCAGTTGATTAGCGGGACAGAGTCTTGTGGAGACCCCGACCTTGGCTGGCTGGTGGACAGAAGTGGGCCGTGGGAAAGCAGGGTGTGAATTATCTCCGCATTTGGGGATTGGCCTCGTCCCGGTTATGGTTGCTGCAGCAGGGAACATGCGGTGGTGGTGGTAGCAGCTGTGTCTGCCCCGACTGCCCTGGTGGCTCCTGGGCAGGGGCAGGGCAGCCAGGCCTGGCCAAGCCTCTGTTGGGGGTGTGGGGCTCCGCTGTCAACTTCTGCGTGCCTGGCTGCTGCAGGTCCTCGGATGCTGACATTCTGCGTGAAAACGGTTGTTCCCCCAACACAAAACAACAGTAAGAACAGAACACTTGTCCTGTCCTCCAGAACTCCGCCTTCTCTCACACCTGCTCAGGTGTCTGCACAAGCCTGCTTTTCCACCAACACAAAGCTCGCAGCCTTTGGGTTCTAATTATGTTTATTTTTTTCGGAGCCCTGGTGGCGCAGTGGTTAAGTGTTTGGCTGCTAACCAAAAGGTCGGCAGTTCGAGTCCACCAGGCACTCCTTGGAAACCCTAAGGGGCAGTTGTACTGTGTCCTGTAGCGTTGCTGTGAGTGGGTGTTAAAAACATAGCCCCAAAAGAGAAATTGATGATCCTGCCATGTTCACAGCCTCTTTTTATCTTGTAGTCTCTGCTTAGTCTCTTCCTCCAGGTAGATTTGTTACGTTTTAGCAGTGTTAGTATTTCTATACTTCTGCGTTCTTTGACACGTTTCACTTTGTAATTGGCAGTAACTTCAAACTGACAGAAAAGTTGCAAGAAGAGTATAGGAAATTCCAGTACACCCTTAATCCAGAATCACCAATTGCTTTAAATTTTTTAACCATGTTTCCCCACAGCTTATCTGTTCATTTTTGAGGGCTGCGTAGTATTCCATTCCACATATGTGCTCGAATTTATTTCTCATTCTCTGTGTGTGCATCTGGGCTATTCTAAGCTTTTGCTGTAATTCCCGAAACTGCTGCAATGGAATATTTTATAGACGTGGCCTCGGACTAAGTCAAAAGATGATTACTTTATGCCTAAGGGGTTTTTGTATATGGGGGATACTTACTACTACATCTGTTAAAGATTTTACTGAACACTTAAATGCTACTAACACAACCAGAAAATGAAAACTTTTTTATGCTAGTTAAGATTGTCTTAAATATTAATTACAAAGTTAGTCATGTGCTTCTAAATATTTCATTGGTGTCGTCTGCTTGATTAATTCCTTCCTATTTTTATACACATTTTTGTACCTCGCCTGGGGTAGCTCTGATGATCAGAGCAGCCCCGCCTCGTGGCTGCAGTCCACCGCCGTGGCTGCTTGGTTGGGAGCTGGGGTGGTCTGTGTCTCCTGGGCGTCCCCCGGCTGAGCCGAGCTTCAGCTGCTGCTCCATGGGCTGGCCTAGGCTTCGCCTGTTCTCACCGTCTGGCGCCTCCCTGCTCACCACGTTTGGGTCACAGGATGTTCCGTCTGGATTTGTTTTTCCCTTGTTAAGCACGTTCCACGTCTCAAGATCCGCGTTCCCGTTAGCTCTTCTCCTGGGGTGGCTACGCTGTCATCCTGCCGCGCCTTGGAGGGTACCGTGCGCCCACCAGGTGGATCTGTCTTTCCTGTGCTGGGTACAGTTCCTGCTTTTTCCAGAATGCTTGGCTCCCTGTGCGTACCCTTCCCCGTTTATAAGGAGAGAGGAAAGTACTTGTCTGTCCTTTACATAAAGAAACGTGCACACAAGAGACAGAGCTGGGAGTGCCCACCCACCCGTTCACTCAGATTCATACACTCAGACATTCCACTGTGTTTACTTTGCTTTTGGGTTACAGTATTGATATACTTTTTATCACCTTTCAGTACAGGCTCTCGGCTTCTCCTAGTTGGAGCTGATTAGCCGTCGTCGTTAATATCCCTTTTCAGTGCTGAAGGGCCCCAGTGGAGCCTCCCACCACTCCACAGGGCCTGTTTCACACGCAGCAGGGCATTCTAGGGCCATAGTGTTCTTCCCCTGGTCTAAGGCCTGGAGCCAGGTGCTCTCTGAATTCTTTCCTTGGAGGACTGTATTGTCCGTGGCCCCATGGGTGCGCAGAGTAGGACTGCCCCATAGGGTTTTCGAGGCTGTGACCTTTCGGAAGCAGGTGGCCAGGCCTGCCTTCTGAGGCGCCTCTGGGCGGGTTCTAACCACCAACCTTCCAGCTAGAGGAGCGCTTAAGTGTTCGCGCCACCCAGGGACTCCTGGAGAATTGAACCAGAACCCAAAATCGGGTGCTGGGAGTTTGCGCCACATTGTTGCACAGCAGTCTGGTGGCGGGTGGTGGCAGCACTGCTGTTAGGACGTTTCACCGTCAGAGCCGCACGAGGGAATTCTGTCTCCCATGGTGGGTCCCACCTCTCTTTTCCAGCCCTTTCTTAGTGCCCACGTAAAATGTTGTCTAATGTGCCTCACTGACAACTGTCCTGTAGTTTTTGTTGACACTTGCCAAACAGCAGCGACACAGGTTGACACGGGTTTCCTATGCCAGCTGCAGTTGTATGAGCGTGCTTGCTGTCATGGTCTTGCCAGCAGTGGCTGTGTCTGTGTATTGTAAACGTGTTCACTCATCATTCTTGTCTGCTAATTCATCTGCCACCTCTTTCCGATAATTACAGATGTCCAGTGCTGTCTGTTGCTTTCACTTGTCTGAACACTACACGCATTTTCAGCTCTTGGTTGCTCAAGCTTTTTGGGGACTACCTTTTGCCCATTTCTTTATTAGAAGTCCTGATGACCTGTGTGTGTTTTATGCCAGTACCGCATGGTTTTGATTACTGTAGCTTTTAGTCCGTTTTTATTTTGGGATGTGTGAGTCCTCCTACTCTGTTCTCCTTCCGGGTCATTTTGGCCCCTCTGGGCCCCTTGAATTTCCACATGAAGTTTCGGGTCAGCTCGCCTCTACAGAGGAATCGTGGGATTTGGGTAGGGATTGTGTCGGACAACCTTTTTAGAATTTTACAGGCTATAAGCCTCCGACTCCTTTGGAGCGACTTTGCTGAGTGGTCAGCAGTTGGGCTCTGAGTAAATTATTTCCCAGATTGTTAGTCAGCTGTCCCAGCGCCATCTTTGGAGAAGCTTACTTTTTATCAAACATGATTTTGATGTGTAGTTGGCAGTTCTTGAACTCTCTCTCCCTTACGTTGTGTTCCTGCTTCTGTTCCTGGCCGCTGGGTCAAGTCCTAATTGGCACCTTCTGTGTGTCCAGCCTGACACCGAGCGGGTGGCCAGACAGGGCGGGATGTCTGCCCGGGGGCTTGGAGTGGCAGCTGCGGCAAACAGGGCCTGGATGGAGTGGCCGGAGCCTCGTGCACTGATGAGGGAGGGTGTGTGTGCAGGGGAGCAAGGGGAGGAGAGGGTCAGCCCTGCGCCAGGGGCACGGCATCTGGTGGGGGTCCCCAGGCGGACCAGCGGGTGTCAAGTGGCCTGCCCATGTCCCGGGCTTGGCTCTGACAGTGTGGAGGCGAGGGGTTACCCTTGAGTTGCAGCACGTAGGGTCTTACTGCTCCTGTGTGCTCCCAGTATGACGCCGTCCCCATCCAGCCCAGCGTGGTGTTATGTTCCTGCTCGTCCCCCTCCATGGTGAGGAGCCAGACCGACGCCGGCGGCGCCCCTGCCGTTCCCAGCGGCAGCAGCAGGCAGGGGCCCAGCATGGACGGCACCACCACTGAGCCCAGGCCCGACGCCAGCGCCCTCCAGCACGCCGGCCAGCCGCTGCCCCAGCCCCGCAAGAAGCGGCCTGAAGACTTCAAGTTTGGAAAGATTCTTGGCGAAGGCTCTTTTTCCACAGTGAGTACTGCTGCCGCTCTTGGGGTGGCTGACCCTCCAGGGGGCCTCGAGCTAGAAAACCCGGACCGCAGGGCACTCCTTCTGGGAGAAGGCCGCTCTTCTGGGGTCTGCAGCCCCTCGGGGGTTGTGTTGTGAAGGGGAGGAGTCTCCCGTCCAGCCACCCGCCTGCCGCAGGACGCGTGGGCCCTAAGCCGGTTTTATAGGTGAAAGCTTTACAAAGATCTCCTGATTTCTAACCTACTAACTTCTCGTTCTAGCCAGGCACCAGCCGGGTACATTCTGGTGACTTACGTTCTGTGTTCTCGTGCCCCTTTGTCCCTTTGGCGGGTGGCCGGGGCCTTGGGAGGCTTTCTGTTCCTTAGGTTGACAGTCAGTATCAGCGTTCTTGTCCTCCAGAGCTTCTGGCCACGTTTCATGACCTTAATTGTTTCTCTGCTCTTTTAAACGTATGGAGCCCTGGTGGCTCAGTGGTTAACAGCTCAGCTGCTAACCAAAAGGTCAGTATTTAGAATCCACCAGCCGCTCCTTGGAAACCCTATGGGGCAGCTCTGCTCTGTCCTGTAGGGTCACTGTGAGTTGGAATTGATTTGATGGCAATGAGTTTGGTTTTTTTTTAAAGCATAGACAGAACAGCCTGCCCTTGACATGTGTGGGGGTGCACCCCAGCATCCCCGAGCCCTCAGGCCTGTGTCCTCAGTTTCCCCAACAGGGAGACTTGCTGGGCGCTGTCCATTCACTTGTTAACTGTCTGACAACCTGAGTGACAGTTTTGTCTGTCATGTGATTTTTTTTATTTTTTATTTTCCTTCTTAAAGAAATGAAGCTTAAATGGACCCCTTTGCTGAAGAGGAGGCGGTGGGGCCCCAGGCTGTGGCACGGGGCAGGGAGCAAGTGCACCCACCCTGCCCCAGAGTACGTGCACTCACGCCTCTGCAGGCCATGGCCCCTGCCCGCTGGGGCCCCGTGCTGGCCACCCAGTGTGCTGGGGACGCCCGTGACTCTGGAGGTCTGCTCGCTGCAGGGGTGCCTGAGCGCCCCAGCTTTGTGGAGAATCCATATTTGAATTTTTTTTCTTTTTGACATTTACAAAATATTTCAAAATAGAACAACGTGAATATTATAGCGCACCCATGTTCCCCCACATCTTGTTCAAATTAATGTTAATTTTTGCTCCTCTTAAATGTTTAATTTAGTTGTTTTGTTAGCAACTTTTGTCTAAATTACAAGACTTGCAGCCTCATGATGGAAACATGTAAGCCGTGAGGCTCCCCCCAGTAGCTCTGGAAGGCGCTGCCTGATCCTGTCGGAAAGTAGGCCTCTGGTTTGCGGAGAGCCTGGGGCGTGTGCGCAGTCACTGACAGCTGCAGGGCGAGATGAGACGGAGCCCCTCTCCTCACTCGTCCTTTGCCAGACGTCTCCCTCCATCTCCACGGTGCGTGGGAAGGCGGTACCACCTCCTGGTGCTGAGAAGCTGCAGCTGGGACTCATCACCCCTGCTCTGTGAGCCCCGTGCTGGGGGTACCCTGGAAAGCTGTGTGAGCAGGCTCGTTCTTGGGCCCCTGGGAGCCCTGTGGGCCTGGGCTTCTGCCTCTGCATGACTCCCTCAGTCGTGGAATGGAGGACACTCAGGGTTAGAGTTCAGGGGAAAGGGCAGCGGCAGTTACAGGCTGGCGGGATCTTTGCTGGCAGAGCCTGGTGCCAGTGCTGGACGGCCTGGGAGGCCCCTGGGGACGGTTATGATGTCCAGTCCACCCTGCTGTCAGCCCAGTGACTTGGAGGGGCGCATCATGCCCTGTCCTCTGGAAGAGAAACCCTTCCCTTGCAGGAAGCCTGCTTGTGCACTGCTGGATTTACACAACAGAAAGATTATGTAAAAACCTCATTCAGAAAGGGTCCCGGTAAACACAGGTGCTCGCTAACATAATTTTTTTTTGCTACTTACAAAGCTAGGGCATGCTCCTGTAAAGAGGCTTAATGTGCAGAAATCTGTAACCTGGAGAAGGGACACGCACGAGCCCTTCCTCCCCCAACTGCAGAGAACAGTCCACGGTAGAGCATTCTGGAAAGATCTCTGAGATCTTTCCACTTGAGCACATACAACATGTCCTCATTCTTCTTCCTAACGGCCTGGTGTTCCACCGCACGCTGTGCCAGGATCTGCCGCTGAGGCCTGTAAGGGATCCCGTAATTGGAGAGCCCGCACAGTAGGGCCTGGGCCCGGACAGCGGAGTTTGCAATGATGAGGCCTTCCATCCCGGCTGGGGCTTTCTCCGGCATGCATCTGTTCAGGGCTGCATCTGTTCAGGGTCCTCAGACCTCCCCTTTTCAGGTGACCGGCTGCAGGGGTGCCTCCAGGGGCAGAGCTGGCACTGGGGGGGTCATCAGCTGGGTCACCTCAGGTGGCTCCCACGCAGCCTCAGGCCTGCTTGTGGAGGAAGGTTTACTCCGCGTGAGGGAGGCCGTGTGGAGCCCCAGAGGGGCTAGGCGGGCCTCTGACGGAGCTGTGGGAAGGGAGCTAGCTCTTGGCTGGGGCTCCAGGGAGGCACCCCCGGGCCGGGCAGCTTGCTGTCCCTTCATAATCGCGATACCACTGAGGATGTCTGAGAGTGTCATCAGTGAAAGTGTAGGGTAAAAGTTAATGGAAAACACCCAAATTTAGGGTTACGTTTTGCAATGAACCATCTACCAGAAGGATGTAGTCGTGAGTTTCTTCTTGGAAGAAATTTCCGGTACCTACTCGTGGTGGTGTTATGTACTACTTCCAAGTCTCGGAAGGTTCCGTTAGTCTGAGATGTTCCTGAATTTATGCTTTCACTGCCCCGTGGGAACTACCGGCAGCAGATCAACCACCTTCTGAAAACGATTGCGAGATGACACGTTTGCTGTTGCCGATTAGAACGCGCCCTCGTGGCACCCAGCCGTGCTGGGTGGCGTAGGACCAGGAATCGTACATGCGATGGCCGACATTCAGTGGGGGTGGGGGAAGCGGGGTGGGGTGGACCGAAGCATGAGGTGTCGAGCTCAGTGCCGGGTTAACGGTGTGTCTTTTCCTTCTCTCCCCCACCAGGTCGTCTTGGCCCGAGAACTGGCAACCTCAAGAGAATATGCGAGTAAGTAAGAATTCCCGAGCCCTGTGTTGGGGTGCAGGGATGGCGTGGCCGCAGAGCCTGCGTGCCCGGCTAGCGGGCGTTCCGGAGTGCCATGCTGACGGCCTCCGAGACCAGCACGTTCCCTGAAGAACCCCAGTTGTATCCGTTACGTGTATGAGCTGTGTCTTCAGTATTGTATTTTTTACCGTTTCCGGTGGTAGTAACTCGCTTCTCTTTCACCCCAAGTTAAAATTCTTGAGAAACGTCACATCATCAAGGAGAACAAGGTCCCGTATGTGACCAGAGAGCGGGACGTGATGTCGCGCCTGGACCACCCCTTCTTCGTGAAGCTTTACTTCACGTTCCAGGACGACGAGAAGCTGTGTATCTTTTTGAGTGCTGAGAGCCGCCTGGGACCCCTGACCTTTGGGAATCACGACCCCGTGGTCTCTTTTCCCAAGCAGCCCCTCCTCCTAAAAGGGAAGGGTGGCATATTCCAGACACCCAGTGGGCCCACATTAACTGTGCTCCGGGAACCTCCTAGTGGACCCTCCAGCAGGCGGCAGGGAATCCCCAGGCCGCTGAGGCTGGGTTTTTCGGCAGCGTCGGTGAACACGGTTTCTGGAGGGCTGTTATCTGAGCTGATGGCTGCGGGTGTTCGTTCGGTTGTTCTCTCCGTTCGGAGCCACTGCCCTTGGAGTGTCTGTTAGGGGTCAGGCCCTGTGCTCAAGCCAAGCAGGGCAAGAGAGGCACGTGGGGGGCGTGGGGTCTCCTGGAGGGAGGCCTTGACCATGGTCAGCCCCCGTGGAGCAGCCAGGGAGAAGCTACAGGAGCTGAGCCCTCTGTGTGCCCCGGTAGCTTGGCCTCCCTCTGCCCAACTTGCCACTTCTGGTCACTCAGTCCCCGCGCTCCCCAGGACTGTCGGGGCTGCTTCTCCTGCAGGGATCCCGCGCTCCCGGTGCCTCCCCAGGGCGCTCTGAGCCCCCGGCTTTCTGGCCGTCAGACACTGGGGGGATAGTGCAGGGTCGGCTTCACCAGTGCCTGCGGATGGTGGTCCTGCTAGCCGTGCGGATCTGAGGTACCTTGTGCACCCACCTCATCCTCCCCCAGGTCACCTTCCGTGGGGTCAGGCAGCGCAACATCCAGACTAGAGTGACCACACCTCGTAACGTCCAGATGGGGTGGCTTGGAGTGCTCTGGAGAACGCAGGCACGGTGCCCTGTCCAATGGTGCCTTGCTGCCCTTGGTTTATCACCCTGCGGCCCCTCCGCAGTGACACCCAGAACTCTGCCCCTGGAGATGCTGTGGGGGCCGTGGTGGGGGCCAAAGACAAGAACACATGCAGAAGAGCCCAAAGTGACCGTCATCCTCCTGCTGGCCTGATTTCCTCAAGACAGAGCCGCCAGGCAGGTCTCAGCATCTGGTGCTCGGGCTCCTCCTGCACCTCTCTCGAGTGCAGTCCTGTCCCTTCCAGTCCCCTATCACAGCGTCCACTCCTGTGGCCTGAGGCCTCGGGAGACTGGGCTCCGTCCTCTCTCTCTTCTGCTCTGTGACCTTGAGGAAGTTGCTTAACCTCTCGGTTCGGGGCTCCTCTTCTCCAAGTGCAGGTGGTGGGCTCACCTGACTCCCAGGTTCTATGCCTCAGGGCCGCCTCCTCACCGCCCTGGGGCCCAGGCTGTGACGTGGGCTGGGGAGGGGATTCTGGACGAGGACTTTGGGGTGAGGCATGCGCGTGTGTGCCTGTGTGCATCTGGGGCATTCATTGGTGTTCTGTGCCAAGCAGAGAACTAGAGGTGTCTCATTTAGGACCAGAACCCAGTGAGTAGTCAGATAAGGGGCAAGACTCATGCCTCCCTGGCCATGGCTGAGCCCATGCGGGCCTCACTAGGGAGGCTCTGGGCCAGCCCAGGTGGGCCAGCCTGCGGGGGTGCCGTCTGCCCAGCAGCGCTGAGCTCGGCTCGGGGTCAGGCTGGCCAGAGCTGGGGGCTGCAAGGGCCTGAGCCGTGGTGGAGGTCCTGGTGTCGGCAGGCCACTGCTTCACTGGTGGCCTCAGCCCTCCTTGCAGAGTGAGTGGGACGAGGCCTGGCCAGACTGTATTCCCTGGATGTGATTCAGTCTTTTGATTCAGTTCCTGTTGAAAGCTGTCTGAGCTGGGGGGCTCAGGTGGCCAGAGATGGGCTGCCCAGGGCAAGTTTCCTGCTGCTCTGGGTGCCCCTGCTGCCCTTCTGGGCTTGTCCACACTGCGCTGCATATTCAGGGAGGCACCTTAGAAAACAGGCCAGAGCTGAACATGCAGGCCTCCTGAGCCTGTGCCTGGGCCACCACTTCCTGGGGCAGTGAGGACGGGTGCTTCGAGATGCCCCTTAGTAGATGGAAATGTTTGGTGCTTGTAGGAGGAAGCAGTTGTATGGGACCCACTTCCTGTCCAACCTTAAACCCTTTTTGGGAAAAGGAGAATAGAAATAACTCAAAGGCCAATGCGGTGGTGACCAAGGGAGGGACGCCCGTGCGCCCGTCTCCCTCCCCAGCGGGTGCCCCACAGACAGCGAGAGCCATTTGAGTCAAGAAGCTTATCAGATGGGTTTCCTCTCCCAAGATGCGTCACTGCGCGGAAAGGAACCTTCCTTTAGGAGCCGTTTAACGTAGCACTCGGGATACAGCCGGCGCTCTGTAAACATTAACAGTTTCCTTTAATTAAAAAAAAATCTTATTAGGCCGGTAAGGTTAGTTTTAACAGAGGATTTTTATACCCTTCCTTAACTGTGCGATGTTCAGATTTTGGCCTTAGCTATGCCAAAAATGGAGAACTACTTAAGTACATTCGCAAAATCGGCTCGTTCGACGAGACCTGTACCCGATTCTATACCGCCGAGATCGTGTCTGCTTTAGAGTACCTGCACGGCAAAGGCATCATCCACAGGTAACCCTGGGGGCCAGGGACCAGACCCGGAGTGCTGGCAGACCGTCAGGGTTCACGCTTTGCTAGCCTGCAAGAGCAGTGTACTTCTGCCTTTGTTAAGTTAGCAACCAGTGCCCGCTTGGTGGCTGATGCCAGAGCAGGTGGAGCTCTCGGGGGTCAGCTCTAGCTTATGCTACGAAGGTGTGACTCAGGTGACACAGACGTGCAGAGACACGGGCCGTTAACCAGCACTGCTGAGCTCGCAGCTCACCGAGCCATCCTGAGTGGCGATGGAGTTCCGTCACCTGTAGCTCCTGGGTGTCATTACTTCCGAGAAACTCAAGTCGGAAGTTCTCACAAGCCCTTGATTTTCTGGGTGAAAAACGAGAGATTTCCGTCCCTGGTCAGAAGTTTATGGAACAACAGGTGCGGTCGTGAAACGTAATGGGACGTCCTCTTGTTGGAGTGGACGTTTGTCCTTGGTAGACTTTCAGCCAGACTTGCACACATGGTTGTGATTCGATTCTTAGTAAAGATGCTGAGTGTTCATCAGTCCATTTTGTTTTCAGCAATATTTACAGCATGTCATAACACACTTGCTTTAAATATTTCATCTCTAATATAGAAATCTACATTTTCAGGGACCTGAAACCAGAGAACATTCTGTTGAACGAAGACATGCACATCCAAATCACAGACTTCGGAACCGCCAAAGTGCTCTCCCCCGAGAGCAAGCAAGGTGTGTGTGGCGTTGCGTGGCCTTGTGTCCGGCCATGTGCATCCCAGTGACGGATGTTTCCTTAGCCTGCCAGACGCCCGGGGTGGCTGGAGGCACTGCCTGGGGGAGCCGTCCCTGGAAGACCCCCCACTCCCTGTTCTGCTGCCGGTTCTCGTGAGCACCACCATGGCTGATCCCTGAGATGCTAGGTACCACTTGTGTTCCTGGTCACCAGCGCAGGGCCATGGGCTTCGTGCAGTCCATGCCCACCACTTCCTCCTCGGCCCTGGGGGTATCCCAGTGCCCTCTGCTCCCTGTGGCTGCACAGGTTGTGGACACGGGT